TGTTCTCATCCCTGACCTGTTCCCCCTTGCTGGGTAATCTTGAGGTAGTGGTTTAACCACTCCAAGCCTCAGTTTACCCTTCTGGGAATTGGGGTTCCTAATGATGCCTTATTTCCCTCTCTGGTTCCTGCGAGAGTCCCAGGAGTGAGCAGATAAAGAGGGCTTTTGAAAAGTACAAAGAGCTGCACTCACGACTGACGGTGAGATTATTATTGTTACCTCGATGCAAAGATAAGGGAGGGGGAGGAGGTGCAGTGACAGTTGCCAGGAAACCTGGGAGCTGTCAGCAGCTGCTGTTTCCGGCCTGGCCCATCCCACTCAGGAGCCAGGCCCTTCCCCACCAACACTCCTGCCTCGCCCTTTCCCTGGGAGAGATGGGTGCTCTAAGAGGGAGAGAGCTGGGGCCTGCTGGCTGGCGGCCACGTGGCCGCAAGGGCTGAAGGTGAACCTGGAATGTACCTGGCCTGGACTCCAGGTTGGCACTGGCTTTCTGTGTGACCTTGGGCAAGTCGCCTCCTCTCTGGCTGCTGCCTCCTCATGTGTAGGAGGAGGCAGCGGGCAGGTGTCCAGGCCAGACAGGGCATGATTGGAGCTGGACCTGGGATAGGTGCTGTGATGGCGAGGTCACTGGAGGCAGGAGGCCAGGTGACAGAACTGAGGGCCTGGGTTGAGAGCAGCTGGGATGTATGTAGTGAAAGGACCCTGAGCTGGAATCAAACATCAGCACCGCCCTTTCCTTGGCTTGTGACTTTGGACTTGTCCCTTAACCTCTCAGAGCCTGTTTTCTCATCTGAAAAAAAGATTATGTTCAATCTCAAAAAGCCACTGTGTTGATCACATGAAACAATGCCTGTGTAAACTGTAAGGTGCTGTGCAGATATGACTACAGTCATGGCAGGTCAAGGGAGAGGAGGGGAGAGTCCCCATGTCCCAGGCTGCTCTGGGCTCCTCCTAGCTGCTGCATGTAAAGGAAAAATGCAAAGAATTTAAGCTGAGCCAGGCCAAAGGGCCAGGAAGGTTTTTAGAGAAGTGGGGAAGGAGAGGAGGGGAGAGTCCCCATGTCCCAGGCTGCTCTGGGCTCCTCCTAGCTGCTGCATGTATAGGAAAAATGCAAAGAATTTAAGCTGAGCCAGGCCAAAGGGCCAGGAAGGTTTTTAGAGAAGTGGGGAAAGCATGGAGACTTGGGAGACCCTCATGTGAATGAAACAGGAGGAGACAGTGGTGGGATAGGAGACAAAGGGGATGGACAGAGAGGTTCACAAAGAGGGAGGAAGATGATCAAGTTGGGGGAGGTCTGCAGAGGCCACAGGCAGAAGGGGATGGGAGGGGTGGGCTAGCAAGGTGGGCAGAGACGGGTGAGAGGTGAGGAAGGCTCAGAGAAGGACAGAGCAGGTGGAGGGAGGTGAGAGGCTGAGTTCATTCATTGCTTCAAAAGTATTTGTTGAGCAACTACTATTCACTGTTTACTAGGAGGCAGAAGAGTGTAGTGTTAAGGGACAGCACCTTGACCCAGACGGTTGGGGAGTTCAAATCCTCAGACTTTCACTTACTGTGTGTGACCTTGGACAAGTTACTTAACCTCTCTGTTTCTTAGTTCCCTCCTTTGAAAAATGAGGAGTAAGCCTTGCGTCAGCACTGGCTGCCGTTGCTGTTGTTACTAGTGTTATTACTCTCTGGCTTGACTTGATGTGCTGGGCCACGTCCCCAAGTTGGGGTTGGGAAGGCTCTATGTTGCTGGGTCCACGAGGTTGGCCACCCATGTTACAAAGTTCAGATCTTGGGCTCTGGAGTCAACAAACCTGGATTCAAATGCCTGCTCTGCTTCACTGACTGTGTGGCCTTGGGCAAGTTAATGCAACTTTCTGAGCCTCAGTTTCCTCAGGTGGAAAGCAGGCAGTTTCTGTGCACCTGCCTCATTGGGGAGCTGCGAGGATTAAACCAGATCACGCAAGGCCCGGGGTAGGCCGTGGCTTTTGTTATTTCTCTCCTTTCTCTAGCCCTTCAGGGCTGGGGATGGATGGGGCAGAGCCTCCAATTTCCTCCTCTGACCGCATCCTGG